GTTGTTTCCCTTTCAGAATGTGCTTGAAAACTTGTCTTTGCTTTATATGGACAATGAAGATGCGTGACTAATTTTCATGAGAGCAGATTTCTGCTGCTGCGTCCTTGGGCTGAAGCTATTTTGCAAACTCCCGGAGCGCTCAGAGCCCAGATCCCTTGTGACGTGCTTCCCCCCAGCGGGAGAGGCCGGCTACAGCCGGCTACAAAGTGGAGGAGGAAACTGGCACCAGGCTCTAACAAGTGTGGGGCTGGATCCCACACGCCCAAGCCCGATAGGTGTGAAGTGTGCCTTCCTAGACGTCTGTGCCCTGGAGTCACCAACAGTAAACGTGATTCCTATTGTGCAAAGATTTCTGAAATGGGCGCTAAGTCCTTAAACACAGTCTGTCACGTTGTTTTTTTTTTAGTACTGAGGATCGAACTCAGGACCCTGCACTTGCAAGGCAGGCAGTGGATCCACTGAGCTGAATCCCTGGCCTCAGCCTCTCACATTTTAATTCTTGCTCATCAGATGAGACATTTAAGGTGAAGGATTATTATTTTGTGGTAATGGTGAACTCAGAGCCTTGCATATGCTAGGCAAGTGCTGTACCACTGAGTCACATCCCCAGCTTGGGAAATATCTTGGTAATGAGACTTGCCCCTGTGACATGATACTGAGGATGTCTTCTAATAACCTTTCTTCTTTTTGTGGTGTTGGGGACAGAATCCAGGGCCTCATGCGTGCCGGGCAAGCAGTATACCACAGAGCTACACAGTAACCCCCTCCTCTGAGGGCAAAAAGATTACAGTCCCTCAGATTTTGTTTAAAAGAAAGTGTTAGTAAAACAAAACAAAACAAAAAAACCTACCCAGCTCTTTCAAACTTTGCTCAGGTGCAGGAAGGGGAATGTTAATAGGTGCGGCTATTTTTGGTAATAGTAGCTTAGAAGTTTCTTCACCACTAAACAGTATGACAATGAGCCAGGCTATTTGTGAGGCTGGGATTAAAAAAAAAAAAATGAGGAATTGCAAAGCTAGTTTTCATTCTTGTTAAAGGGAACAAAACAATACTGCAGTATTTTTGGAATGTTGTGTTTAACAGTAGGTCTCTTAATTATACCAAAGGTAATTCCTTCAGGCTAAGGCTTGTTACATGGTACACAACATTGCTGCAATGTAGGACAACGACCACTCAGAATGCTGTGACTTCTCATTAGTACCCTAAGATTGTACGGGTTGTATTTGATGGGTAGTCTGAACTATGAACTTCGCTGTCCCTGTTTCATTTATGATAATTTCTTTCTCTTTTCATAAGCCCACCTTAAGACAGAGTCGATTCGAGAGAAGAGGGTGGTCTATCTGCTGTGCTTGGAACACGCCAGCAGCCTCTACGACATTCTTTGGGACATACCACTCACTCGGGCATGGGAACACTGAACTTGGAAAGACGCAGTGCAAGCTATGCAGCTGCCAAGATGACCATGCCAGGCACCTATCACAGGCCTTTAGACAGACCCTCTGTAGAGCAGCTCTGACTGCTGATCACCGCTACAACCCTCTTCAGCAGGAAGTGCCACAGCTGTCTGCCCTTTGCCCCCTCACCACAGTTAGGGTTACACCTTCGGAAGGGGGAATATTGCAGATAGGTAAGTTAATTAGATATTATAGGCAGTTAAGACAGGGCCACCCTGAAGGAGCCAACATGCAGGACAATCAAGACACATTTAATGAAGGCCAGAATTGTAGGAGACAAACTACTGTAACTTTGTGATTCCCCTGGGGATAAATAGCAGTGATTGATATTCTAAACAGGCATCACCTGGGTGGAAGGCACGGTCTTAGCCCAGCCTTTGCAGGAAATATCCTGATCCCCACCCTTACTGAAAATCCTTGTGTGCTTGCTCTGTGACTTGCTCCCCCCCATTTGATTCCCATTTAATCATTATTACCTGGGTGACTGTAGTTGTAATCTTATTGGTCATGGTTTTGCCCCACCTTGTAATTTTCCATTGGTCTTATAGTTTTGTCCCACTTTGTACCTGCCTCACCACATGGTTTTGCTGTATAAAACATCTTGGAGAAGTGGGGTGAGGGGGCAACCCACTTTGTGGTCCCCCTTCTTTCCCTCAATAAACTTTCCCTACTCTTAAAAAAAAAGACAGTGGCTGGGCATGGTGGCGCAACCTTTAATTCCAGCACTCGGGAGGCTGAGACAGGAAGATCGCTGTGATTTCCAGACCAGCCTGGGCTACATAGCGTTAGGGCCTTGACACCACCATCACAGGCTGCATTTTTCTGGTAAGACCTCATGCTCTTATCTGTAGTTTCCCTCCCTCCTAAGGCCACAGCAGTCGGGAGAGGTTAAACCTGTTTCTGCTGGACCCAATCCATAAAGGGCAACCTGGCCTGTGATAGATTAAAGGTAGCCCACTCCTCATAAGCAACAGCCCAGCCCAAAATCAATAAAAGGATCTTCCTTTGTTCCTCTCTCTCCTTCTGTCTCTTCTCTCTTATCTCCCTCTCTTCCTAATAAAATCTGTCAGACCCCTCAGTATGTGGCCTAGTTGTTGTGCGTCGCTGTACCTCTACACATAGTGAGTTCCAGGTCAGTCTCAACTATGTAGTGAGACCCTGTCTCAAAAAAAAAAAAAAAAAAAAAAAAAAAGAGTGGACTCAGGTGGGAGCACAGTACTGCTGCATATAGCAGGGACCTGCCCAGCACGTAGACACACGGCAAGAGAAAAAACTGGCACTGTCAAGCTGACCTGGAGGGTTGGAGTGACCCTGCTGGGCCCCTCCTATCCGGGGTCCCTCCACTGCTCCCCACTGTAGGCCTGAAGGTGAGTGAAGTAGCTCCTACTCCGGATCTGGGAGCACATGCAGGGTGAGGAGCCTGAACTTCACCACATCTAATTTTTGCATGTGACAGAGTGTAGGAGCTCAGACAAGTCACACTAAAACACCCAGAACCAATGTTTTGCTGACCAACTTCTTTTACCCTCCACACATAGCCTGCACACTGGCTTGGTAAACTTGAACGAGTGGCAGGGAAGAATGACTTAATAAAATCTATTTTTCCTATAACAGAACCATAATAGCAGAAATAGATTTAAAAATTGCCAAAGAGCCAGAGAACCAAAACCCTTCCATATTCCTGGAGCAGTGCATGTAGGCCAAATCCAGGTAGAGCACACACCAGAGTTTATTTTGAAATGCAACAGACCAGATCAGGATTTTATGAATATAACTTATGATTACATTATCAGGTAGAAACAGCTTTCAAATGCATGCATAGAAAGTTAAGCATTGTCTTTGAACTCATTTCTAAATATACAAAAAATACATTTAAATTATATAATTTTAGTGAATCAAAGACTTATAAAATTACAATTTTGGTTTTCACAACATAGAAAAAATACAAAAATGACTCTCTATATATAGTTGTCTAATTTTTTACCCAAATGTCAGAGTAGTGTGTAATGAATTTGATGTCTTATGGTTTATGAGAAACTCAGAATTAAAAATAATTTATAGGTTGGACCACAACAATGCCAGCCTTTTATTAGACATGAATAATCAACACAGGATGTGAAAATGAGGGTGTAATCTCACTTGCCCGTTCAGCTCTGTGTCTTCCGGGCTGAAGTCTGCTTCTGAGGAACTTTCTTATGGTGAAGTCAGCACTATTCTGAGACTCCATCTCCATGGGGCCTTTGATCAGGGTGGGAACATGAGAGTTGAGTGGTCCTGACCTCATCAAACAGCAGGGCTAGACACAGATTAGCAGCTGTGTTTACAATGCTCCGCCATGCACCTCAAAGGAGTCCCTCTGTCAGCAGAAGGCCCCTTGGGGAACCTGAAACACTCAATCCAGTGGGCGCTAGATGGTGTCTTCGACTGTGTCCTGCAATGCAACCACCAAGGCTGACAAAACCCCCAGTGAACACTGCCTTCAGCATTCACACTTTATAATGAGATGTGACATTTGCTGGGGTTGGATGTTCTGTTTATAAAAACACCACTGCTTCAAAGGAGAAATTAATTCCTGTTAGGGATTGAAGAAAAAACCCAGCTACTGAGGAGGCTACTGGAGGACACAGAGATGCGCCTTACTTATCTGCTGCATTTTAAATGTTGATGAAAAAAGCATACTCTGGGGTTGACACCCTCTTTGAAAAGGGAGTTGGTTTGCTGTGTTCTTACTAACAAGTACAACTCGATGCAATATGCTGTTTTGCAACAGTGTTTTTTCATAAGTAGTGAAATTATAATAAAGGGCCTGAATAAAACTTGCAGCTCCACAATCCTGGAAAACCTGCATTTTTCATCCTATTTTCTACAGTTCCAAAAACCACTGAAAAAAATCTTAACCAAATCAAGTAATAAGGCTACCATAACTGAAGATGATTCTGTTCTATGGTAGAAATACATTTTTGAATAAGAAAAAGGGGTGAGATGAAAAATCATCTCTCCCAGCATCTATCAACTACAAGAGATTCTGATCTCAACACACCCCACAGTGCTGACTTCAAGAAGCGGAATTTCAATGTACAGTTAAAAAATAAATTTATTATATGCCTGCTTAGGTTAGGTTTTCAAGTTCCTGTGAAAATATGCATTTTAAAATTTAGTTTTTCATCGTGACATTCTTCTGCTACTAACAATCATATTTTAAATTACTAAGCCTGACTTAAATGTAAAAAAAAAAGGCTTCACAAAGACACTGTAAATGGAGCGCACGTCTGAACTGGGGCTTCACATTTCCATCCAATGCTTTGAGGGGTTTTAAATGCACAGTTGAAGCAAGCAGTTAAAATGGCATGGAGATATGACACTAATTAAGCACTGTCCATAGGACCAAGTCATTTCATGGCTCTTCAGCACAGCGGTACAGTGCTGCTTTCACTCTAGAATGCGTGCTGTCTCTCAGCACTTGGTGGGATTGATGTGGGGCCAGTCAGGGGAAGTAAACAGGATAGTGAGTAAACTGAAAAAACAAAATAATGGTGTAGAAAGCCATTCCTGAATGTTTCTGCAGACATTTTTAAAGCAACACCTTCCATGTACTTAAAATTAGATTCCCTGTTCCTGTGTGACAAGATGGGCGTGGAGTCCATAATGAGAACAGCTGTTGGCAAATACATTACTTAGAGGTGCTCTGAGACCAGTCCTAAGAAAGGTACTTGTCACTTACCAGCTATGGAGCTTTACCTCTCAGAGTACTGTCACTTGTTAAAACAGTCCAAGCCAAGCTCCAGGTTAAGGTAGGTTCTTTACAACATACACATACTAATTCAAGCATGTTTCTTAGTGGCAGGCAAGAAGGACTCAACTGAAAAGAAACAAAGGGGTTCTAGTTTTTTTTTTGTTGAAGGGCACTACCCCAAAGCTTCATAGGCATATACATTTGATAATTCATCCACTAGATAGGAAGGGCTAGGTCCCAGCCATTAATTCAGAGCATTCCAGAGAAAAAAGGTTTGCCACTTCAAAAATACAAAGAGATTCCAGCATGCAGTCAGGCACTGTGAGAAGGGAACACCAAACACACTGCAGACCGAGCCGAGCTCTGCTACAAGCTAGGTGCACACTGGGACAAGCCCCTTACTCAGATGGACTGTACTCGCAAGCAGTCAGTGTGATAGGTCTCTTACTGGATACATGATGGACACAAGAGGAATAGACGCCAAATCCCTTTCTAGTGCCACTGTAAATATTGAGGACTTCTGGTTGAAAGAGCATGCTGAAATGGACCGGCCAGGACATTTTATGTAGTAGCTTTTTAAATTTTTGTTTTTTTTTTATAAAATCCCAGGCCCATGTGACACTGGATTTTGGTTTTTGTTTTGTTTTTAATATTTTAAAAATAGTTCTTAATTCTTTTCTATGAAACGTATTGGGAACTTAAAAAGTCTGCAGCATTTTTGGATCATTGAAAAGTTTGGTTTTGGGGGATGGTGCAGGAAGCAGGAACTATTCAAATTTCTTGTGTTCTTCAGTACGAGAAAGGACCTTTCTTCTCTGGTGTATCATGTGGAAGTATAACTGAGGGAAAACTGAAAGAAAAAAAGAAAGAACTGGTTAAAGACATCATTTACAGCTGGAGGGAGGGGACAACAGTGAAACACGCTGCTTTTCCCGCTTGAGCTGAGGTGACAATGGGAAAAGATTTATAACAAATGCTGTTGTTACGATGCCATGGGCCGGGGATTTAGCTCAGTGGTTCAGCCACCTGCCTCACAAGCGCAGGGACTGGAGTTCAATTCCACGTACCCAAAAAAAAAAAAGACGCCATGGAGCCACCAAATTGACTTTTTTTTTGGGTGGTGGTTCTGGGATGGAACCCAGGGTACTCTACCACTGAGCTCTATCCCCAGCCCTGCCACGTAACACTAATTCATATTCTCTTCATATTTATCCTGATTAATTTCACAGGTGAAGAATACTAGTAATGGAATTACTCCTATTTTAAAGAGGAGAAATTCAAGACCCAGAGAAGGGAAGCAACTTCCTGGAATCTCACAGCAAACAAGTCATCCATGGAAGTAAGGATCAGGATCTGGGCTCCTCACCCCTGGTCTAGCCCACCACATCTCAGGGTTGAGAGTGAGGGATCTCCCAAAGCACTCCTGAGAAAGGTGGCTCTAGGGCCGGGGATTTAACTGAGTGGTTCCACCACCTACCTTGCAAGCTTAAGGATCTGAGTTCAATTCCCAGTACAAAAAAAAAAAAAAAAAAAAAAAAAAAAAAAAAAA